CAGTTTTTTTTTGAAGGGGGAAGGGCTAAAAACCCGTGAAGATTTAGTTTGCGGGTTGAGTACAACCGAGTACGGCGTGGGTTTTGCACTTGCGTACAATGCATTGTACGTGAGTACAAAAAAAAGTTTTTTTTTGAACGCCAGACACACCTACCCCAAAATTACCATGCACTCATTAGTCTCAATTATGACACCTTCTCATGACACAGCCAACCCCTCGACCTTCGCGGTCAAGGAGATTTAATATCTGATTTATTAATTTCTGCCATTCCTCTCCCCTAACCTTGTCGCGCACCACAATAACACATGTGCGATGATCAAATCCACTTTCCCATCCTCCTCGGCCACAATCGTCGGGGCGTTCACCTCTTGGCAACGACGCCAAATTCGCCAATGCCCTTCCTCTGATGTTGGTGGATTATCTTACCTTGGTCGTTTAGGAGCAGTTGCAATCTATGTGATCTGCACAAACACGAGTAAATACCCTTGTAAGGGTATTTGTTTCTCGTGACAACGGAATTAGTGTGGAACGACACTGCATGTGGGGTCACATAGACTTTCCACATGCCGCCTACGGGGCTCTGAGTCCGACGAGGAGGCTAAAAGGGCCCGAGCGTCACACTCCATTTCACTTAAATCCACATTGACTATGAAAGTCCACGTGCTGACACTCAGAACACAGCTCATGTGACCAATGAGAGGCTACGGCGGATCAGGGGGCGACGACCAATTTGTGATAGGGCAGGACTAGGGAATATGGGTCGTATCGGGTCTCGACAATAAGCCAGCTCCGCTGGGAAGTGATAAAGACCACGCTACAAACATCCCATTCATAAATGTCAAGTCTTTCTCGGTAGGAGAAAGGGGGACATTCAACCTAAGAAGGGTCGAGCAGACATGCAATGCCGAGACACACTATCCATATCCCATGTTCATCTGCAATTTTCCATATACAAAAATACAATTTAAGCCACGCATCAAAAAGTACCCAAGCAACATACATTCATATTCACAAAACATTATCTGAACTTAACTACGATTGAGCCATTAAAATAAGCCAGGCTCGAAGAAGAAGAACATTCATTCTGTTGCGCAATCTATGCATCTTCATACCGAGAATAAGAAATGTGAAGCGCGGAAGACGAGGAGACAATACTCAAAGAACACGCTGAATTTGGACTCGTAAAATTCCATATTACAACCCAATTTTCAACCCCCCCCCCTCTCTCTGTGTGTGTGTGTGTGTGTGTGTGTGTGTGTGTGTGTGTGTGTGTGTGTGTGTGTGTGTGTGTGCACAGTCAATTTCCAAATTCGGTGCAGGCAGTCCGTCGCCTCACACCCAGCAACTACCTAGAGTCGTCACCTTGCTTAGCGCGATCATGCAAGCCAGGTTCATCCATGCCCCGCAGTCCCTCGTGGCACCACGTCAACCCCGCACTATCACCACCAGCTGGTCAGATCGCCCAACTGTCGTACTCACCTCTCAATACCTGCAACCTGCAACCTGCTACCTGCTACCCAGTCCTCTCGATCGTGCTAACTCTAAAAGTTAGACTAAAGAGAGATAAAGCTGCACTTCCTAAATGTATAGCGGAGAATGCATTCGTGAGACGACTGGGATTAGATGAAAGATGCGGAGGGGGAAGTGCCTATGAACTGCATACCTGAACCGTGGCGGGGAGGACTTAGCCACACTCCTCGCATTGATCCCGGTTGCATTGTCTTGGTCAATGAAATGGGGGCAAACTAAGAAGATGCATGAGACTCAGTGTCAAAAAGAGCAGAAGAGGAAGGAAAGGTAGTTACACCCAACGATCAGTAACGGGAGGAATGTTGGAATTGTCGGGTGACAGTTGAAAACAAAATTGAGGCGAAGGGAAAGAGAGTGCGAAAGATGGCGCGTGTGAGCAAGAAGCAGAGTTCAGTTACACCTTGCACCAGACAGAAATCAACAAGCCCAAAATCCCATGCTAATTAAAATCCTAATTCCGAAGAAAAATTCCACTTACATGCGCACGAAGTACAAGAATTAAAATTTTAAATGCCATTCCACTCTTGTTACAGAGGCAAAATTTCCCACCAAACCATGCAGAAATTCCAAAACGAGAGGAAAAAGAAAGACATGTCATCTTTTATTCGCGCTTGCTAAGGCGCATCCTAACTGCCGAGACAAATCAAGTCACAAGTTGCAAAAATATCCTTCCTACGTCATAACTTGGACTATTGTAGATTTGCAAAAACATCTCAAAAGATAGAGGTCGGCCCTGTAAGCATACACCGGCCCATTTAGCGCCGAACACCAACCGCGCAGAAAATCGCGCTCAGACATATCATCAATCGGTCTTTGCACTTCGCAATTTCTAAGAATCATAGCAAAAAATAACCAAAAAAAAAAACACCATCAGAATCTTCACTTAAAGCACCCGTACAACACACATAGGCCCACGGGTGTCGGCATGAAACCCGCACCTCTTCGGAGGGCGCCGATTTTTTTTTTCAACGGCGCTCCGGGCCGCGCGGCGCCTCCGAGTTTTGCTTGTGGCGGCAAAAACTTTCTGCAAGGCTGGGGCCGTCACTGTACTAGCGGTTTAAAAACCGTTTAACATTCACCTGACATTTCACTTGACATTTATGGCACAATCGTAATCCGAAACCACCACAAACGCTGTATCAATATCACTAGACCCTCCACTGCTACTGCTAATGTCGCATCGCAAATACCAACCCGCGTGTACAACTTGAACACACATCAATAAGGGAAGGGAGGGGGAGCGAGCGCAGGGAGGTGCAGGGGAGCAATGAGTCATGTGGAGCGGAAGGGGGGGGGGCTCATCTACGGCGAAGTACAATCCTGCACCCCCTCCATCCCGTCCCCCCCAGAATAATATCCGGATCCATCATTGCATCCACACCAATAACAAAACATCCGCAGCTCAGTTGGTAAGGCACAGAAGTTGCATTCAGGAGGTCGTGGGTTCAATCACCACTGGCCTCACGTACGTGCCTGGGCAAGCTTGGTGTTCTACCAGCTAGAGATAACCCGTTGGCCCCCCAAGCCAGCATTGGGAGGACCTTGGCTGATGTTGTTGGCTGTTATGCAGCAACAATATTGGCCATTAGACACCGCCATGTGGGGTTGGGGGGGGGTAGGGGGAGGTGCAGTGACTGGCCATTGCTCGGCGCTAGCACCGCTGATTTCCCCCATCGGCAATGCCTGCCCACCCCTCGTCACCGTGATGAGGGACTGGTACAGCCTTGCTCTCGCACCACAGCTGTGGTGCAAACCTACCCCGTGGGCTGGGGAGAGATCCGGGTTGGTTGGTGTTCCCCCATACTATAAATAGACTAGTGAGAGGATGAGATAAATACGTACTACCAAGAAAGATAAAATAGATTGAGAGAAGAATATAGATTACTTTTAAAATTAAAAAAAAAAAAAAAGCAAACACAATGCGGGACGGGAAAAACACACGATTTGAAGACCCAACATGGACGGACTGAGACAGCTCGCCCTACCACTTGAGGGCATCCCCGCCGATAAAAAAAAAAGGAAAAACTGCGCCTGTGACCGCTGCACAGTTCAGAATTCGCAGAAATAACAGTCCACTGCAAGATTGGGCCCTGAGCAGTTCGAAACAGCAAAAAAAACAGTGAACTGCACGTTAGACAGCCTACCGGTTTGATAATGGGCAAAAATGGGGGGTGGTCTGGCCTAGCAGGCCCTCCCATCTTTTTTTTTTTTTTTTTTTTTTCGTTTTTGGCTTCTGGCGGGAATGGGTTCGAGCAGGAAAAGCAGCCGAACGCGCCCCGTTAACACCCGCCCCCCCCCCGCCCTCTCTCTCTCGCTCTCTCTCGCTCTCTCTCGCTCTCTGCTGCTCGTCCCACCAAAGTGCGAATGTATCTGGTCCATTGTCTGCGTCAGATACATTCGCACCTTTTTATTTTGGACATGCTAATCTTCTCTGTATCTTTCCAATCCTCTCTCTCTCTCTCTCTCTCTCTCTCTCTCTCTCTCTCTCTCTCTCTCTCTCTCTCACACACAAACACACACACACACACACACACACACACACACACACACAAACGAAAAAAATAAAAGTGGCAGTGTATATTTCCATTTTCTCGGCCAAGATTCATTCCGATTTTGCTCGGCCGGTGGAAAAGGAGTGGCCACGTCGATGTTCCATCGGCTAACCAAAATCGGAATGAATCTTGGGCGAGAAAATGGAAATATACACTGCCACTTTTCTTTTTTTTTTCGTTTGTGTGTGTGTGTGTGTGTGTGTGTGTGTGAGAGAGAGAGAGAGAGGGAGGCAGCTGGAGTAGGCGGGCCAGCAGGCAGCAGAGAGCGCGAGCCGGAGCGGGAGTGGGCGGCAACGAGAGAGAGAGAGAGAGAGAGAGAGAGAGGATTGGAAAGATACAGAGAAGATTGGCATGTCCAAAATAAAAAGGTGCGAATGTATCTGTCGCAGTCAATGGACCAGATACATTCGCACTTTGGTGGGCCGCGCGGCAGACACACACACACAGAGAGAGAGAGAGAGAGAGAGAGAGAGAGAGAGAGAGAGAGAGAGAGAGAGAGAGGCCGGTGTTAACGGGTCGCGTTCGGCGGCTTTTCCTGCCCGAACCCATTCCCGCCAGAAGGCAAAAACGAAAAAAAAAAACAAAAAAAACGGGAGGGCCTGCAAGGCCAGACCATCTCCCGTTTTTGCCCATTATCGAACCGGTATGCCATCTAACGAGCAGTTCATTGTTTTTCTTGCTGTTTCGAACTGCTCACAGCCCAATCTTGCAGCGGACTGTTATTTCTGCGAATTCTGAACTGTGCAGCGGTCACAGGGGCAGTTGTCTCAAAAAAAAAAGAAACAGAAAAATAAAAAAGCAACCCATGTTCTCAGAAGCTGTCAGAGAAAGTCTTTGACAATCATTCACATCATTTCATTTTGAAATTAAACAATCTCTAGATTCTCTACACATTTTCTTCTCACCGAACCAAAGCCACCACATGACCACGTTCATTAACCCACAGCATCCATCGCGGTACCCCCTCCCCAGTCCTGACGATCTCAGAAAGCGTCTGAGGACGAATCTCAGCCGCCAGATCCACGATCGGACGGGAAAAAAAGGCCACGATGGGGTCGGCCACAGCCCACGGCTGATAAAAATTATATCGATATATGTAGACCACGGAGGGTTCAGCCTCCTGATGAGTCTGTGAAATTCCGCCGGAACAGTTTGTCACAGCCCCTCCCTTGTTTGTTGTCCTCTTCTCTTCTCCCTCCCCCTCTGCCTACGTTTTTTTTTTTGTTTTTGTTTTTTTTTTACACAAAAACAAGCTCCATGTATTGGTGGGGAGCAGCACATGCTGGAAACCGGGTCCAGCGTCCCATAGATACAACCATATCTTCACAAATTGGCACAAACTGGGAACCGGGCCCAGCGTCCCATAACGAGTACGTTCAGAAAAAACTTCATCAGAAAATTTCATGAAAATGAGACAAGGAACTACTAGAAAAATCTAATTGGCCTAAGGATGGAAAGGCAGTTCTGTTTGACAATATATAGACATATTCCCTGAGAAAATATGTAGGTATATGAGCATAATGAGGTATAAACCAACTCACGACCTGAAACTGTGATATCAGATGATAGAAAGCCCTGCAGACACGTACTGATTCGACAGAACATCCGAGACCATGAAACAGAGCGGACAAGAAAAGAGAGAGTGGATTGGCGAAGAACTGGCATTCGCGTGTTTACATCCTTTCTGTCTTCGTTGCCGGAACAAGTGTGCCAAATTCCCTAGGATATTCTTCCATTATTAAAGAGAATTTTTTTTAAAAATTTGAAAACCTGTTAAATTCAAAGATACGGCTATACGTACTATGCGATTCTTTTTTCTTTCTTTTTTTTATGCGATTCAATACTACATATCTTCCATTATTAAGGACCACAAAATTGAAAAGCTGTTAAATTTAAAGATACGGCTACATGATTCCATAGTATCAATACTTGTGAGTATTAACAAGGCTTCCATAGGTGACTCGTTAGGAAAATAAATAGGAAAAGGAAGAGGGAGGTAGGGGCACAGAGGGGGAAAGAAAGAAGCATTGAAAGACGACTCCAATGGATTGTTTGCCGCTGCCTCCGACATGCTTGTTCACAATGAGCCACTTGCAGAGCCGATTCACACTATGGCTTTGGACAATCTATCCGACCACGATCACTTCATCATTCACGCAAAAAAGAAGTCCTGGTCAGTATGCTCTCTCTCTCTCTCTCTCTCTCTCTCTCTCTCTCTCTCTCTCTCTCTCTCTCTCTCTCTCTCTCCTACTTGCATGGCATCTCTTCACTCCCTCATGCACTTGTTCTTGCAATAGTGTGACAACACGGACAAACGCATTGATGAAAAAGAAGGCACAAAGGAGATACAGGGGGTTGAGAAAGGAAGTGAGAGAGAGGGGAGTTAGGGGGAGTTAGGGGGAAGAAACAGAGAAAGAAGCTCAGAGAGAAAGGAGAGTGTGAAAAAAAAGTAGGATGCTAAGAGTGGCTTGTTCTGAATGCTACCATCGAATGATAACAGAAATGAAAGAAAGGAAGAGAAAGAAAAAACGATTCTCTCAGCTCCCATCAGATCAAATTCTTAGAGACATTTCTTACGGTTCCTAGATTTGCACAACTTAATGAGCACTGGCAAACATCAAAAGTTGGGCATCATGCCTGCTTTGGCGCCACTAATGAAAGGACCCACCCCTCACTGTGCATACAAGTAGGAGAGAGGGGGGGGGGGAGGGAAGGGTGGGAGAGGGGGACTGGAACACTCGACAGCGGCGGCACGGCAGCGAAGCTGCAGAGCTCCATTCACTCAAAGAGAGTCCTTTTTTCTTCTTCTTCTTCTTTTTTGTTCACTCAAAGAGTGTCCTGCTGAGTTCTCCTGTGCAATTTTCACAATGAGTACAATGCTCGCATTTCCGGAGTGGCCATCGCCTTCCCTACGATGCAACCAAGTCGCCTATGCAGTAGTCTTTTACGGTTTCAAAGACATGAGACGGATGTTGAGGCCTGCAAAAACATCATGATAAAAACGCCACATCACCCCTTAATAAGATCAACACTGCCGACCGCACACGAGCACTTTTTTGGCCGATTTATGGATGTGATTGCCATCGGATACATCCACGACCACACAAGTCTGCAGTCTAATATACCCAGGGCAATCCTACTCGCTAGTACTGTGAGTATGCTCGTACGCGTGCTGGTTAACAACAGGAAGTTTCAGCAACCCCGTATCAGTAGAAGACGATAGAGAACTTGATCCATACAGATGATATTCCAAATGACATGACGATTACAAATTATCCACACAATTACACTTTGAAACCACCAAACCACAAGTACGTTTCCCAGCTAGACGCAGCAGCAGTTAACACGCCGCATCCTTGTGGGGCTTGGCCTACAGCACTGACAAGGCGGGCAACGCAAGGCAAAAAAATGTGATTTCGCACCCGTGACAGGTCTTTTTTTCATTTTGGGCGCACAGTGGAAATTGGCATTGGAAAAACGAGGCTCTGATGTACTTGTGGTTTAAGACGCCAGCACACATCTGAGCTTGGCCTAGTGAGCTACTGGTTTCCCCTGAACATAACGCACACTTAAAATGGATGTGTAGTCATTGTGTACAAGCTATCTTTCCGGTTCGGTACAGCCATAATCAGGGTGCGTTGTGTTCGGGGTTTTATACGGTAGCCCTTAATCGTTGTACCTTTAAACCACCAGCACGTCCGGGCCTGACCTGCTGAGTCTCACATGGCCAGAAACCGCACTGTGTCGACGGTTCACTTCTCTTGCTAGCCTTCTGTTGCCGTTGGCTACCATGTGGAGGGAAGATGGCTGGCTTGTTTCTTGGTTCTGGCCTGGCCAGAGTCCAGATCCACGCTGGACGTCATCGAACACCCGGCCGGCATTTGCACAGTCATTCGCTATCCGAATTCCCATCATAGTATATCATACCCTCTACTTCGATGAGTCGAGACTGGTACAGTCTGCTCCCTTGCCCTTTCCTGTTGTTCATCAGGCATCTATGACCATTTCCCCAAAGGTCCTTTGATTCTACATCTGCAGCACATTGGGGGGTTAAATCAACTCCCATACGGTCGGTCAGCAGTATCTGCCGTTCCGATTTGGACGTTAACCACTTATAGTTTCAATGGCAGGCATTGTCTTTTTGGTTGAGATATAAACTGTTTGAACTTTGAATGTAAGGCGCAGAAGAAAGAACTATTTGCCAGGGAGCTAAGGGGGTGTTCCTCTATTCAGAATTTCAGATTCAGACAAGCTATTTTTGAATCGCCACTACAACGTGACTACGCACGTGTAAGGGAACCTGGCGGGCGCAGAAGATACCCATTCTACAACAGGGCAGTCGGGGCATTCCTCCCTCAGCCCTCTGCTTCACCAGTGCGTGCAAGCTGCGGATGTGAGGTTGTCAAATTGTACCCAATATTGTCTATGATATGTCTGCTCATCCTGGTTTGTATGTCTTGAGGAGCCTTGTGGTGCAGCTCCATCGATTGGGTTTCCATCCTGAGGCTGCTGTCGCCGCTGCTCCACTGCACCACACTGCCCGCGTAGGTAGTAGGAGTTATCGTGCTCTTTTTCCATTCGCAGACAGATAATTTTGGTTGATGGAAAGGAGAAGGTTATGTATTTAACACTATTTATGGCATGAGATTCATGAAATTCATCCAGTACCATTCCATCCTTCAACTTCAGACTCCTGTCCATTGGCCACTTTGGCCCATTCGCTTCCCATAACCGGTTTGACCTTTGTTTCTGCCATTCTCTTCTTCTAATAGCCGGTTCGATCTTTTGTTTCCTGAGCACCGGTTCGATGACTTCTTGGCTTGGGTCCTGTTCATCTTTTCCCCACAATTTGACTGTTCCTCCTTGGGACGAGGAGGTTGGTTTGGCAACAAACTGATGGATCGGCCCTGCAAAGAAAAGTTGAACCGCCCATCTCGAGCCCAACAGTCAGACACCTTAAACCACCAGTTCACACATGCCTAAGTGTTTGAAGGAACTACCTTCCAAGGCTCGTGAACCTGCAACTGCGCCTTTTCAAACTGGCTCGCCGCTTTCGCTACCAGCACAGGCCCGAATCGAAATGCTATTCCCGCATATACCCCCGGTAAGAGCACTAGAACTGGTGGTGCTTTAACCACTGCAACCGTGACTCTGTGTTCAAAAGTGGAAATTCTAACCATGGGGTCGTGATATCCACCCCACCCACCACTGCACGGTTGCAGTAGAATCCACACGTGTTCCTCCACGTGGCATCTTTTGAGAACCCCTCCCCCTACAGGGCATATGTCCCGGGGAGTCCGTCTCCATCGACTTCACCGACTTGGGAAAGATAAGTAAGAACGACTACTCACAAGTCATGGTGATTGTTGACCGATTCTCTAAGTTCCTGCCATATAGCCCTTAAGCACATAGCCGCCTCCTACTGATGAGGAGGCCTGTGATCTGGACTCTGAATGGAAGCTTCACGAGGCAGTTCCTGATTATTTGTATATATTTTCAGATTCTCCAATTGTGGATCGTAATCAGACAAGTTATTTAACTTATTTTCAAATACTATTAAACTTGAGCTCAATTGGAGTTGCATTGATTGGTATTAATATATTGCTTATTCCTTCCATGCATATATATTAATAATATTAGCATAGATTTTGTGTTTTTGAAAAGATCCTTGGAAAAAGCAATTATCAATTGTGACAAAGAAGGGAGGGGACTTTGAACTTTTCGATTCATGAAGGGGGTGCACTGAGACCAAAAAAAAGACATATGAGACCGAAAAAAAGACATATCTAGCAGATAAGCAAAGAAAGTGGAGAGGAGAGGAAAGGAAAGATGAGTTCCCCTCCGTTGCTCAAAATCAACTCAAACAACTGAGCTATACGTAACATGATTAACATCCCATCCACGCACCTATTCGCCATTCATCCTATCGGCGAAAAGAATGCATACTGCAAGATCAAGCACGCTCGCTCAATCATCCATACACTCACTCATCCTGTTATGAACAGCACTCTGTCTCAGTTGCTCGAAAACATGCCCCTCTCAAAAAGCGAGAACCCAATCCTCGAACAGCCTAAGCACGCATTCTACCAAAGCCCAGAACTACAGTCTATCGAAAATTCACACAGCTCAGCTGCGCTGAACTATCGAAAATTAACACAGTTGCACAGAACAACGACTCATGAGAAAGCAAATAGTACGAACATTAGTAAAGAAGACATATGTAGGGCAATAATTGTATGCTCCACCTACTCATACGGGGATATAATATATATTGTAATAATTAATAATTATATATCATTTACCCAAGTTAATAATTATTTATGCCCAGAGCAAGGCCGTTCAAAAGTTGTCCATCCCCTTTTTTGAGCTCTTTTACTAAGTTTTTACTATTTAGTGAATTTTGCGAGGCTACGCCCGCTTAGCCCCTACGGGGCCCTATTTGCAGCAAGATCGGCCGCCCTAAGTGAAGGCAGGCACGACAGGCCCTTCAGGCCTCGTTTTTCAGGGTACCCCGCATTGGGGAAAATTCAGGCAGTTGCGCAGCGCCAGTTGGTTGAATGAACCCAGGCCCTGGGCCGCCTGTGTGAATGAACGAAGAACAGGCCCTGGGCTGGATTCAGGTACCGGGCCGAACACAGGTCGAAAGCAGTTGGGCGCATGCAACCACTTCAGGCCCAACGCCTGCTTTCCTCGTGACTGGGCCTCATGCTACCGGGGCCTACTGGAAGCTTCCTGGACTGGACGCAGGCAGGCCACTTCAATATAGGGAAGGGCCTGCCTCTCATTCGGCATTCGGGTGCTGGCTGCATGCTGCGCGAGCGCTGCTGCGCTATCTGCTGGCTGGCTGGCTGGCACTCACGCTCTCACGGGCGAGTAGGGAAGGAGCACGCAGCCATAGTCAAGCTGCGCTGCTGTATGCTGGGTGAAGCACAGGGGTGGGACCGGATTGCACACCTTTGAGACACGCTTGGCTTCTGATGCAAAGAAACGTGACACCGTGACTTTGAGAAGAACAAAGGGAGGGGTAGGTTCCAGGTGATGAGTTCGGGTTTTAATTCCATGCTATGAACAGACCCAGTCAGTCGACATTATTTTTATTTTTGGTTAGTTAGATGGACAGCCATGTGACATCTGACAGACAGCATTAGTTTAGAATATTGTTTATTCCTGATGCTTCCTCTGTTTGAGAACTAATCTTTCTAAAAATAGTATTGACGGTAGGAATCTGACTTACCTGTTGACCCCAAATGAGGTTTGTTCCAAAATAGCCACCAGTAATTAGTTGGTCTGTGCACTACGCTGCGGTAGGCATCTTGAATGATCTAGTGTAGGCAGTGCACAGTGTTGTAGCCTATGAGCAACAGTGAGGACACCGGAGAGGACGACCGCAGGATCTTGCGATCAGCTCGAGGCCCGACAACTCACGTGTCCTTAGGACCGGAGGGTGAGAGGGAACTGTTCCGCCGGCAGAGGGAGAGACAGCAGCAAAGAAGAACCAGAGTTGATATCCTATTGGCGCTCGGCGCCCAGACTACATGTGGCAGATCCTATCTAGCCTATACTACGAAGCAGAATGATGACATCAACAGCGTTCCCGAAGTACGAGCATATGGCGACCAATGTCGCACGCTTCAGCACCAGGTAYGTCTTGCGCTACCCTCACAACCTCGTTCCCCAACTCACAGATGCCACTAGCACCCAAGGACCACCCTGCGCTTCACCCAGCATACAGCAGCGCAGCTTGGCTATGGCTGCGTGCTCCTTCCCTACTCGACGTGTTTCCCGGAGCACTGCCTGAAGAACTGGCAATGTTGCCCCTTCAACGGTTGCAATAGTTTCCCTGGGCATGCCGCTATCAGGAGGGGTAACAGCAGGGAGTAGTTTACAGGTTCCTGTACAGACAGTGTTTACTCCAAGTCCTTCACAGGTTGCAGTCACCACGCAGCCTGCTGTCTCGCAGCCAGTGCAGCCTCAGGGCA